TTGACATGGTCGATCTTTACTCAGAATTGAAAAAACAAAGGTCTCATTTCGTATTTGTGAAAAGCTAATCTTCGAGAAATTGTTATTACTAAGCAGTCTACCTAAAAAGCTACTGTAAACGTAACACTTGCAATCCAATCCATCTAAATTTCAAGCAAAGAAAGGATGCATAGAGCATTCCACGAAGAAGCCTAGCTGTACTTTCTAGAATGGTTTTGTCGCATTTCTTGCCCTTATCATTTACTTCTAAGCCAATTCGTAAAAATTGTGTTCGTTCGAGATATTTGTATGGTTTCAGCCACTTTCCATCCATGCCATCAACGATTTCGGGCTTCCATGCGTCGTGCAGAATCCATACAGCGGCGAGCAGCTGATCGTATCAAATGTGAGTTAGAATAAGAGTATCGGGCAGCCAGTTGATGTCCGTCTCTAAATTGTTTTCATTTTCCGTTGGTTCAGTTTCATGTTTCAATGTCCGAGGCTTTCTCAGCGGCTGCTTGTGCGGCAGCCATGAAACAAACAGCAGTTCAAGCCATGTGTCTGCTTAGTCAGACTTAAAATCAGGCTCTCGATCAGTTGTAGTCACGCGCTGCTTGAGATCATCTTCCATCATACCGCGCATTCCTCATTGTTAGAGCCTACAGTGGTCTCTAAAGGGCATCAGAAAGGATTACAGCGAGTGTTTTTGTTCAAGGAGTGAATAATTAATTGATTTATTATTATTAATTAATTCTTTATTATTCGCTAATAGTTGAATCTACCCTAGGTACCACGTGATGCCACTGTTTACTTTCTGTTTTGTCAATGTTTATCAGGGCTATGTTTATCAATCGATTCTTGCCTGAAGCTCCCTCAAATGATTCAGCAAAAAGGAAATTGACGATTTCTCATTTAGCCCTTATTTTTTTACTTTATATTCGTGATCGCTACAGCCTAACGTATGGGAAAACAAGGGCTTAGTTGAGCCATGAATAAATGGCTTCGGCTTAGGTCCTGCAGGGAGATGGTCGTTTCCATTACCCTGCCCCGTTGTTTATGTAATGTTACCTTTTTGTTTGTCTTCTTGTGATCTTGTTTATATGTAAATGCTTATCATCCCCAACCTTTGATACTGAGAATGATCTCTACACTCCTTTATGTCCTGTTGATAAGAAACTTGAACTGCGGTTCAGAATAACACTTTTCCATTTAACATTTTATAAGGGAACCATGTTTTTGCTGTCGCAAACCTTTTCCGAAATATTTTAAAATACTTTTTTTCATGCTGAATATTTACACTTGTAAGGTTTTCTCGAAATATAGGCAAACCTTTGGCTTCGAACAGAATATGAACCCATCCTTGAGCTTTCCGCGCACCATGCTCTTCATATCTACACTTTCGAGAACCTGCCTGCCACCAACCTTCCCCAATTAAAACGCCTTTTATACCTTTTCTACTTTTCCTGTGATAAATTGAGACCGATATATCAGCTCCCTATCTCTGTGAGTGGTATCAGCCTTTTTCAGGAATACGACGTCCCTGATGGTAAATATAATCCGTCATGACCGGGAATAACGCAGGGTAACTGAGAGCATGTTATGATCACGTCATCTGAGAATTGTGAAGGCAGTTGAATTGCCTGCTGTGGATGAGTAGCACAACATTTCTCTTAGACACAAGTAATTCTCCATGGGCTATGTCTGATTAGGCTCCGGTCCGGGAGGTGAAGAGGAGACGATGAGGCGGACGTCTGGGTAAACAAGCGTTCAGCTGCCTACTCGTTCCTGTCATGCTGAAAAACACTACTAATAATCATGTCGTGAGAAGAAAACCAGTTGAAAAGCTCCTGAACTGAAAGCAGTGTCGTCAGGAATTCCCCTCATTTTGTGCTCCATTATGTATATACATATGTTCTTGCTTACAAATTCCAACGTCTTCGTCAGATACGGTATCGGTACTAACCTACAGCGGGATTTTAGCTCATTGCGACTGGCTTTTTCTGAAATAGCTGTTCTCCGGGTAAGCCTAACGCAGCTTGGGTTAGCTTGATGTCACGCTTCATTACATTACTGTCATCTGAGCAGTTTTTAGGATTGCTTCATTTTCAGTCATTGTAGGACATTCATTGGCAGCATCGCTTCTTTCCTATGAGTTTCTGAGAAATTGAGGCAACTTCTCGATTTTCTTGAAAGACCTTTCATTTAACTGAAAGTCTTCCTAATGATTCGATGCCTTGTTAACTGCTCTTGTGTCGTCGCAAAACCGATTCGACCAATGTCTCACAAGGTTGGCGAGTTTGTTCAAAGCTTCAGCCTCGGACTGAACTTGAACCCGTTCTTTTGCTTTACGGGCACCGTGCTTTTATCCCTTACCTGTCGAGACATCGCTTGTCCTCGCTTCTTAATGGCTCATAAGCCATAGCTTATCAACACTCTCATGTAGAACGTGGTGAGCCGGTTGGCCGGTATCAGCACGGAGTCGTTGAGCTGCAGCCTTTGCGGTTGTCCCGGCCGAGGGCTAAGTTTTGTCCATAAGCCACCAACCTTGTAAGACTTCTAACTGATCTTCTCTCAAGCATTTTCTATTCCAAAGTCATATTTGATCTAATGTTTTTCAAGTTTTATTATTCCCATTACCGCCAACTTTCAGACCTTCTAAATGTTCCTCACTTGCCCATGGAATGAGAAGCTCCTTAAAGCTGTACTTTCGTGATGTTTACTATTCCTAGTATGTAACGAAGCTGTCTACGAAAGCTTCGGATAAAAAGAAAGAAACCTCTAAGTCTTTATAGGAGAAGGGAACGTGATCGTTGTAAGTTTGCCACTCTCGAGAACGGTGATTGGCATTGTTATCCATGCTCAACCAGTCTAATACATACTAATGCGTAAGCGAAGCATTTCCCCCCCCCCCCCCCCCCCCCCCCCCCCCCCCCCCCCCC